AACCGTAACTCAGAACCTAGTCTGACGCACTGAAGCTTTGAGGCTTTGAGGGGGACCTCCAGTTCTCCACAAACTCTTTCCTGGGCTGTGGGGACAGCCTGCAGGCTCTTTGTGTCAGATTCAGAACCCTCAGTTCCATTAGGCGGCACCGTTGTCATCGGACAAGCACACAGACAGGAAGAAGGGTTTGCAAGACAGTGCTCCTAGCACTGAAGACAAGGGGACAGACACCCGAAGACCACAGCTCCTAAGCTAGCCCCACACACGGGCCACCCGGGAGCTCACACTAGTCAGGAAGTGGCCTGGCAGACGTGAACATTCACACCAACTTGTCAGAGCACACGGGAGGCCACGGCCAGCAGGAGCGAGGACCCGCTGCTCACGTGGCAGAGCTAGGTGTAAGGACACCGGACATGGAGCCCATGGAAGCCTCATCTGGGGAGCGAAGGTCCACCTCACACTCAGTTCAAAGCTCGCGTCCTTCCCTTTACAGTGCACCCGACACACAGAAGAGGCCACCAGCATGCGGCCGTAGCACCTGGGACGTCCGTGAAGAAGGCAGACGCCAGTCTCAGTCTGGTTTTCTTTTACCACAGAACATTCCTAAGATTCGCATCTTATTTAAAAAGCAGAGGAAAGAATGTCAATTCTGTGGTAAAAAAACTCTTAGGGGCAAAATAAGTACTTGTACGAGAGAAGGGTTACAAAGTTGAAAAGCATCTTTTATTGTCGATATTCCATACACAACGCGAGTGAGCACGACCTCCCTTCCCATGGTGAAGCCACGCCCCTAGGTGACCAGCGCGTCTGTGAGCCCGCCCCTTGGCACGCTTTCACAGGACTCTCTTTCTCAGTACCTGGGGGTTTGCTTTGGCTAGATTCTCTATCTTAACCCATGCTTCTTCTCGCTCTTTCATTTTTAGCTTCTCTCTGAAAAACAGTAAAATGTCACTTGTATTAGAGCCATGACCTGCATTCAAGGAAACGTCACAGGGCAAACCTGACCCCCAATACCACCATCACCCAGCTTTCTTTGGTTTGATCTGGCCTCAGCCACATACACTGTACACCGGTGATCACAACGGACGTACCGCAGAGAACAAAATTAAGAAAGCAGAAGGACTCAGCGGGCGAGGCTGAGAAGAGCAGCGAGGCCACCATTCTGCCGTGCCTAGGAGTTAAACTCTTAAAGACACCCGTACAAGTAACCCGTAAGTCTCCACCCGTCAGCTGAACTCTTCACTCAACCCCACACCTTCAACGAGCAGCTGACAAAGCCATGGAAAACAGCACAGCGTAAAGGAGTGAGGTAAAAAGAGCCGCCTTCTGTTTGCTCTCCTCACCGCTGGGTCGCTAGGAACCGGCAGCAGGGAGTGCTGGGCACCCGGGTGAGCACGAGAATGCGACAGCTGGCTCACGTGCACACACACGTGTATGTGGACGTACGCTGTTGTCGCGTGCTGCCACGGCGATTCTGACTCCCAGCGCCCTGCAGGACAGAGCAGAACTGCCCCAGGGTTTCCCAGGCTGGGCTCTTTCCAGGATCACCAGGTCTTTCCTCCTGTGCAGCGGCTGCTGGGTTTGAGGCCGGACTGTAGCTCAGCTCTTAACCCCTGCACCACCGGGGCTCCACAGAAATACACTGTGTTTTGAATTATATTAATTCAAAGTTTATCTCAGCTAGCTTCAAGTGAAGGAGCTCTGGTAGCGTAGTGCCTAAGGCACTTGACTTCTGACCAGAAGGCTGGCAGTTCAAACCCCCCCAGCCACTCCTTGGAAGGAAGGTTGGACAATCTACTTCTGTAGTGATACTGCCTCGGAAACCCAAGGAGGGGTCGCTACGAGTTGGGTCTGACTCGATGGCACACAACAACAGCTTCAAGTGATAAGGCAAAGAAGAACACGTGCCAACAGCCCTCTGTCACTGACTGTGCAGGTGTGACTCTGCCACGCGGTGCCAGCACAGCCTGGGGACAGGCCATGGTGCCACCTGGCCCGCACTGGCAGCCGTTCTGCTTGGAGGTCCTTGGGGGCGGGGACAGGCCTGTTGGTCGGAGGCTGCAGCCTCCAATGCCGAGAGGCCCTGCACTGGCAGACAGTCAGGCTGTGTTGAAAGCAGTCTCAGCTCCTCCCCAAAGCCAGCAGGCCACGACTCCAACACCAGCCTTAGAAACACGGAAAGCAATGCCCCCTGCCGCCCACTAGGGACCCCCAAGAATAGCAGGAACTCCGAATGCTCAGTTCCGACTGCAAAGCTGCTTTGGGCGCATGACTCCAATGCAGCGGGAGGGAGGGAGCTAAGTTTAAATGCGCTGCTTTGGAGACGAGTTTTCGCTGCCGAGTTCTCACCTGCTTTCCAACCAGGAGAGGCCCTAGTTCTGCTCTGAAATGAAGAATAGCTTTTAGGACAAACCCATGGAAGAGGCGCATTCAGAATCAAGGAGAACACAACACTGCCCCAGACAGCAGCCCCGCGCAGCACTGACTTACTTCAGCTTCTCCGCTTTGAACTGCTGCGTGCAGTCGTCAAACAGTTTTTGGTTCATCTCCATGAACAGCTTCAGTGCATTGTAGATGAGGCCATGTATCGTCCTAGAGACAAAACTTCAGGTTGGGACTCAGAACCTGGGTCCGTCTTACCCGTTCTCCCTCCCCTACTCCGCCACAAACGCGTCCTCTGCGAACATCACGGGCCGTTTCCAGAGTCCTGCAGGCACAGGCCTCCTCAGCCTGTCATGTGGAGCCCACTGCTTCTGCTTTCTGAGTGGCCATAGCCCTGCAGGGCCCTTCACAATCACGCAACAATCTTACTTGGGAATTGAGTTGAAACATGATATAATTAAGACGAACTTAACTGCATGGAGGACAGCAGCGAAGACACCTCATTCCTAGAAATGTTAGTTCCCTTTCACTTTTGTGCACTGAGGGCAGACAAGTTCATTTTAATAACACTACACTAAAGCTCACCATAAACCGGCTTCACTCTCAAAGCATAACTACTTTTTCATCCATTTTCTAATAAAGGCAAAGTGATTTCAGAAAATACTTTAAAGAACATTTCTTTCTTTGCAATGGGCAGCGATGTGATATGAATACTCATCACTGCTGACCTTTACCGTCCACTCATTGAGAACAGAACTATGGTTACAATCCAAGGGACCTTATCACCCCTTGAACTCAGTAAAAACATGAATGTTACGAAGAACAGACGGTCCAGACTGACACCCTAACAGGTGGGACGTGTTCAGAGGCCCTGGGCCATGCAGGCGGTTAGTGCGCTCGGCCGTAAACTGTGTGGTCGCTGGTCTGAGTTCACCCAGACATGCCTCAGAAGAAAGGTCTGGGGATGGACTTGTGGGAATCAGCGTGGACGCCCCGGCTCCTGAGCAGACCCCCTGTTGTGGAGATGAAGACAGAGCTGTCTGCTGATACCTGCGGGGCCGCCTGCTGGGCGCTGGACGTGCCCCGGCTGCCACCCTGTCTGCTGATACCCGTGGGGCTGCCCGCTGAGAGCTGGATGTGCCCCGGGCTGCCACCCTGTCAACGACAACTGCTCCCTCTCCTGCTCCTACTGCCCTGGTACCACTCGCTGCTGGATCCACAACTACACGCCTGACGCAGACATGTGCCAAGTGCTTGTGGCATGCCAGGGGTTTCATCATGAATGACGTAACTTCATCCTAATGTCCACAACAGGTGATCTAACCTCCTGAGATGACATCACCTTAATTAAGCACCACAACGACACACTGAGCTGGATGCCGCTGTTTCCCCCATTTTCAGGTGAGGAAACTGGTTGAGATGCAACAGGCCTCGTGTGACTGTGTGTCAGCGGGGGAGGGATGAGAACCAGTCTGTCTGTCTCCAGGGCCTGTGCCCACTCTCTGTCTCCTGGCCCTCCGCTCACTGCGTCGGAGAGCAACACCCGTCAACGCTGGCCCTGCCTGGCCACCCTGCCCCGCTCAGCCTGGCCCTCCCGCTGCCTTGCAGCCTGGCCCTGTGCAGGAGGTGGTGTCATCTGCACCGAGCACAGGAGCAGCGAGTGGTGGAGGTCAGAGCTGTGGTCGGCAGGGTGTCGTGTTCTGCACGGCGCAGGGGGCACTGTACCGAGAGTCAGGGTGGCAGGGGAGCGGTGTGCTGAGTCAGATCACGGTCTGCACTGCAGAGCAGGGGAGCGCGTCCGGGGGGCCAGGTAGCCCGTGTGAGAGCCCAGCATGCTGCTAAGTGGCTGTGTGTGTGCGGCTGGCCTATGTGTTCTCTCAAGCCTCGGTTTCCTCATCTGTAAAACCAGGGGCTGGACGCGATCTCGTAGCCCTGCTCTCCTGCTGTGAAATTCTGGTTTAGTGATAGTTATATAGAAAAAGTTGGAGAAAGCAAAACCCCAAGCCCCACGCTGGTGCAGACACCACCACTGCCAGTTCAGCATTCCTCGGGAACCTGGCCCAGGGAGAGCTTTCTCCTGTGGCCTCAGGAGACCATGGCTCTGTCACTGAGCCGACTGAGCCACACTCAGTGAGGACAGGGAGAAGCAGGAGGACGTTTAGGTCCCAGGCACCTCTTCACCTGTGCCCAGGTGGTGACCGCAGCAGGGACTCCAGGTCTCAGGGGCTCCCTCAGGGTGCCATGGGCAGAAGTAAGGGGCCCCTGGGATGAGGCAGACACTGTGTTCCTGCCTGGACTGCCCCCTGTGAGCTTTGCAGCGACCTTCAACTCCTTAGGGGCTCTCTGGAAGGGGTGTAGAACTCACTGCTCCCAGAATGCAGCAGGGACAGTGGGGTGACCAACTGGCCTCTATGTTGGCTTCAAATGCTGTCAGGAGGCCAAGTAAAAGGCCACAGATACAAACTATAGTTTTATCCAAGTACAGAAAGCCCACAAAGAAATCAAGCCTCTGCCTCTCTTTTAAGTGGTACTTAAAACCTGGACTTCAACTGCAATTGGCTTGGGATGCCATCCTGCGTGTGGCATCTCACTGTCACTGGGTGGGAGGACGCGGCGGACAGGGCTTTCTTACTTGTTCCAATGGGTCTTTGAGTTGCGGTACAAGGACGGAAACATGATGGGCAGGATCTTGGCTGCGTTGTCGCTGATCAAGCTCATGATGTACTCGTTATTCCAGTAGTACAGTGCCCGCTCCGCCACCTGGAAGACAGGCCGCTGTGACTGTGTGGCCACGCTTAGAAACAGACATCAAGCAGCCTTGGAACTGCCCCTGGAAGCAGCTAATGATGGTAACCACAGGGCTGGAGCCACATACAGCAGCAGACAGTGCTCCAGACTGTGCCCTTGAAGAGCCTTTGATGAAGACAGTAACTTTGTGGGTGTGTTAAGTTACATGAGAAGTGCAACACGAGTGGCTAAACACCAAAGCCCCATAGTTCCTAATAAAAGCATTGTGCGCCATCCCGCTGCTTCCCTGAGCTGCGTACCTGGAAGTGTGGGCTGGACACGCACTTGGCCAGCTGCCTGAAGAGAGGCTCCATGACCTTCACGAACTCGGAGGGCTCAATCACGTCCAGGATCTCCTCCAGCTCGTTCAGGAACATGACCTCCTTCGGGCTGTGAGTCTTTGGCCAGTATTTCAGAAGCGCCATCACCACCTGCGAGAGCAAACGCCATCAAGAGTTTCGGGACAGGAAGTGCTGGTGAACGAGGTCTGTCTCGTCACCGAGGCATCGCTGCTGCAAGCAAGCAGGGCGTCTGCCCCCGACAGTCAGCCCACGGTTACTCTGCAGGAGGTGGCACAAGTCGGATTTTATTTACTTTAGAACCGACATTTTAATTCCCATGACCCATTCTCTCTGATGAATCACTATTTTAACTTCTGTAAGAGTCAGGTCCCTTAAAACAAAACGAGAGTAACACCAAGTGAGCGCGCGGTTAGGAGTGTGTGGTAGGAAGAGGAACAACGGGTGGGGCTAGGGTGAATGTGTTCACAGGGGCCTCTCAGCCTGCACGCGGCCAGTTTTGGAACGCTGTGATGTACACACGTGGGCACGACCCACTTCATTCTCAAATTCACTGACACGTGTGCATACACAGGGTTTTCAACTCTGCTAAGTTGATACAAAATATACTAAAGAACTGGACGTAGGCTGATACTGCCAAGTCCCAGCACACTGGTACAGGGTGGCAGTGTGACCTTGGGCTGGTTGCTTGGCTCCCGGGAGCCTCAGGGCCCACATCAGAAAGGGGCCTCACATCGCCCACCGCCAGGAGCTGCTGGGAGGACCACCCCAGGGCCCACATCAGAAAGGGGCCTCACATCGCCCATCGCCAGGAGCTGCTGGGAGGACCAGGTGGAGCACACGCAGTGGCCTCAGCCCCCTCAGCCCCCCCCCCACGGCGAGTCTCCTGTAGCCACGGCCCTGCTGGGCCCACGCCACCCTCAATTTTGGACAAAGAAAGTGAGGCTGTTACAAGTCTAGACCCAAGCCAGACAGTGAACAGAGGGTGGCTGCCGGGCCACTTTGTCTTCCAATGTTCCTGCAGTTCCCAGACTTCGCATTGTGGTTGTGCCACGTAACATGGTGGACCCGGAATATTGGACTTGATGCCCTGCGGGTGAACGCGAGTCGTATTTCTAGAGTTTTGCTGTCTGCAGTCTAAACAGTTCAACTGTCCAAAGGCGGCGTTTTAGCAGCTGTATAGACACACACGCACGCATGTTGTTGTTAGGTGCCATCAAGTTGGGTCCGACTCAGCGACCCCACTACCACAGAAGACAGCCCTGCCCACCCCGCGCCACCCTCACACAGTCGCTGCTGCTGCGTCGGTCCATCCTGCCCGCCCCGCGCCACCCTCACACGGTCGCTGCTGCTGCGTCGGTCCATCCTGCCCGCCCCGCGCCACCCTCACACAGTCTCTGCTGCATCCGCGCCCAGCGGTGCAGCTGCTGCGTCGGTCCATCCTTAAGGAGCTTCCTCTTTTTCACCGACCCCCACTTCTCGAAGCATGATGGCCTTCTCTAGGGACTGGGCTCTCTCGATAGTGTGTCCAAAGTACATGACGTCAAGTTTTGACACCCTCACTTCTAAGGAGCATTCCAACTGTACTTCCGCCAGGACAGATTGGGTGGTGGTTCTGGCAGTCCATGGCATAGTCGGCATTCGTCGCCAGCACCATAATTCAAAGGCACTAACTCTGCTTTGGTCTTCCTTAGTCCCTGTCCAGCCCTCACATGTATACGAGGCCAATGAAAATACCACGGCTTGGGTCAGGTGCACTTCACTCATCAGAGTGACATTTTTGTTCTTTAACACTTTAAAGAGTTTTTTGCAGCAGATTTGCCGAGTCCAATATGAGGTTTGATTTCTCAACTGCTGCTTCCATGGGTGTTGACTGTGGGTGAAGTAAAATGAAAGCCTCACACACACAAATATATACTTGCACACATAATGGTGCGACGGCGACTGAATGCCTTAAAGCAGCTGTCTAGCTAGTTACAGTGAGGTCTCAGGGCCAGCGTCCCCGTTCCCGTGCTGACACCAGGACTGCGGTGACATCGCTCCAGTGTCAGGTCTTCTCGGAGTGGCTGGGCCTCACCACTTGCTGGCCATCCCCAGCTCGGCGGCCACGTGGACTCCCTGCCCAGCATCCCATAGCTAACGGAGGTGGCAGCATGTACAAGTCACCACCTGGACCAAGTGTGCCCTGAGGCCGCTGGCCCTCAGGCTCCCAAGGAGCTCTGTGCATCACACCTGCTAAAGGGCTCAGGAAGCCAGAAAAAGCAAGTGCTGCTCGTGCTGAAGCCTGGGGTGCACACTTACAGCTGCCCATAAAGAGAATGACCTCAAAACACACCCTGTAAGGTCTTCCCTCCTACTTTATGCTCAGTTATTTAATCAATGCTGATCAGAGTCCCTGCTACGCTGCAAGTAAGAGTCACTGTTAAGAATGTGTGTCTCCTTTTCGCTTATCTAGTGGAATTTTCCCACGAGAAGCAAGTGAACTTGGGGGTCACAAACACAAGTGATTCAGCCATCCCATTTCTCTGAGGAAGGTATTATTTCTGGAATCTGACTCCTGACCTTGCTTTTGATGCCATTTGGAACGACCTATGCTCAGCACCCAGCCACTCTGGCAGCTTTTGAATGGGACAGGGTTGTGCAGAAGAGGATGTCTGCTTGGGGAATGCTAATCGGAGCTGACAACGGCTGCTGCTTCTGGGTGCAGTTCAGGGCATGGCGCTGTCCTTGGGCACACAGAGGACCCCCGTGCCCGGGAGAAGGCCAGCGCCCCGACCTGGATTCTGAGGAGTGCGGCCCAGCTTTGCAGAGCTTGCTCACACCCGCCTCTCCTGCCTGGTGAGCCAGGAGAGTGCCCGCAGGGCCGAGCACAGCTGTACTCCGTCAGTGACGGGACAGTGAGCACCTGCTCTCCCCGTGACCACAATGTGTTTGTGCTCAACACGCGGGGAGGAGGCCGAGGGCAGCGCACGGTCTGTAACCTGTTGTTATTTGCCGTCGAGTTGGCCCCAACTCACAGCGACCCCTCCTTGGGTTTCCGAGGCAGTATCACTACGGAAGTAGGATTGCCCAACCTTCCTTCTGAGGAGTGGCTGGTGGGTTTGAACCGCCAGCCTTCTGCTTAGCAGTCAAGTGCCTTAGGCAGTATGCCACCAGAGCTCCTCTGTAACCTGTAGTAAGTGTTTTTCACTTGCAAACTGGCAACACGTGTCTCGGCCTCTTACAGACCACACTTGAGACACTCCCAGAACTCGGACCCGTGACGGTCTGGGAGTCCCTTGGGCAGGACTGCGACCCACCCACCCTCCCGCTAAAGGATGCCCACCTGCCCAGGGTTGCGTTAACCGCCCCACTGACTGGTCTCAGTGCTGCGGTGGGACATGATCCCTCTCTGTTTCCATGGAACATGAGTCCCAAAGACAGGAAGTTACTGAGGCGAGGGGCCAAAAGATCTTCAAGAGAACTAAATCGGCTCATGTAGCAAAGACTTGTTGTTGGGTGCCGGTAAGTCAATTCTCACTCGTGTTGTGGGTGCTGTCAAGTCGGCTCTGACTCACAGACACCCCATGTACGACAGAACGAAAACCTGACAGTCCTGGGCCAGCCCCACAGTCCTTGTGGTACCTGAGCCCACTGTTGCGGCCACTGTGTAGATCCATCTCGTTGAGGGCCTTGTTTTCACTGACCCTCTGCTTTACCAAGCATGGCATCTGTCTCCAGGGAATGGGCCTTCCTGGTAACAGGTCCAAAGTACAAAATCTGGCCATTCTTGCTTCTAAGGAGCATTCCAGCCACACTTCTTCCAAAATAGATGTGTTTGTTTCTGTGGCAGTCTGTGATCTAGCCAATAGTCTTTGCCAACATCACAATCCTAATGTGCCAATTCTTCGGGTGTCCTTATTCACTGTCCAGCTTTCACATGCACACAAAGCTCCTGCAAACACCATGGCTTCAATGGTGCACTTTAGGGTCCAGAGTGGCAGCCTTCCTCTTTCACACTTGAAAGAGGTCTTTTGCAGCAGATCTGCCCAGTGCAATATGATGTTCGAGTTCTTTACTGTTGCTTACATGGGTGTTGACTGTGGATCCAAGTAAAATGAAATCCTTGGCGACTTCCATCTTTTCTCCATTTATCATGCTGCTGCTCGCTGGTCCAGTTGTGAGGAACAGTTTTCTTTATGTTGAGGGGTAATCCACACTGAAGGCTGTTGTCTTTGATCTTCTTAGTAAGTGCTTCTAGTCCTCTTCACTTTCAGCAAGTAAGCCTGTGTCATCTGCATATTGCAGGCTACTAATGAGTCTTCCTCCAGTCCTGGTGCTGCGCTCTTCTTCATGTGGTCCAGTTGCTTGGACTGTTCACTCAGCACACAGATCGGGAAAAGTACAGTGAAAGGGTATAACCCTGATGCACACCTTTCCAGATTTAAACCGGTCTGCATCCCCTTGTTCTAGTCGAGTAACTCCCTCTTGGTCTACAAACAGGTTCCTCCTGAGCACAAGTAAGTGTGCTGCAATTCTGGTTCTTCCCAACGTCATCCATAATCTGTAACGGTCCACACAGCTGAATGTCTTTGCACAGTCAATAAAACCCAAGGAAACATCTTTCTGGTGTTCGCTGCTTTCAGCCAGGATCCATCCGACACCAGCAGCGAAAGCTCCCGCTCTGTCCTCTGCTGGATCTGGCGTGAATTTCCGGCAGTTCCATGTTGATGTAATGCTGCAGCTGCTTCTCAATTACCTTCAGTAGATTTCACTCGTGCGTCACATTAATGATACTGTCTCACAATTTGCACATTCTTTTGGACCACCTTTCTCTGGAATGGGCACAAATACTGATCCCCTCCAGTCAGTTGGCCAGGCGGCTGTCTTCCAGATCACTTGGCACGGCCAGTTAGCTGCACCCGCCGTTTGTGGAAACATCTCAGTGGGCATCCCGTCAATTCCTGGACCCTTGTTTTTTCTTTTTTGCCAATTCCTGTAGTGCAGCTTAAGGAGCTCTGGTGGCATAGTGGTTGAGGCATCTGGCTGCTAACCAGAAGGTTGGGAGTTTAAACCCATCAGTTGCTCTGAAGGAGGAAGATGAGGCAATCTACTTCTGTAAAGATTCACAGCCTTGGAAACCCAATGGTGGTCGCTACGAGGCAGGATCAACTCGATGGCAATAGTTTTTTTTTTAGTGCAGCTTGAATTTCTTCCTTTAACATCATTGGTTTGATTATATGCCACCTCCTTCAATGGCTGAACGTCAACCAATTCTTCTTGGTACAGCGACTGTGTGTTCCTTCCGTCTTTGACGGTTCCTGTGTCATTCAGTATTTTGCCCATTGTTGTTGTTATGTGCCGTCGAGTCAGCCCTGACTCATAGCGACCCCTCCTTGGGTTTCCGAGGCAGTATCACTACGGAAGTAGGATTGCCCAACCTTCCTTCCGAGGAGTGGCTGGTGGGTTTGAACCGCCAGCCTTTTGGTTAGCAGTCAAGTGCCTTAGCCACTATGCTACCAGAGCTCCCATTTTGCCCATAGAATCCTTCAATATTGCAACTCAAAGCTTAACTTTTTTCTTCAGTTCTTGCAGCTTGAGAAATGCTGAGTGTGTTCTTCTCTTTTGGTTTTATAACTCCAGGTCTCTGCACACCTCATTATACTGTCTTCTCGAGCTGCTCTCTGGCGTCTGCTGGTGAGCCCTTCTACTTTCTCACTTCTTCCACTGGCTTCAGCTACTCTCCGTTCACTTTAAGAGCACCTTTCAGAGTCTCTTCTGATGTCCATTTTGGTCTTTTCTTTCTTCTCTGTCTTACTGACTTTTTGATTTCTTCATGGATGATGTCTAAACGCTGACTGGCAGCAATCTGACATTTTACTACGATGCAATGATCATAAAATAGTTACACTGCTAACTTGGAAAGAATTTTCAAGATAGTAAAATCTCTTTAGTACAACAAGCACTTCAAACTCTCAACTCAACTCCTCTGACTGAAGTCAGTAAAATGAGCTGTCAAACCAAGAAAGTGGGAAAGTACTAAAATGCCAGTGATTAGTGAACACCAGCCTTCAGGTGCTCCAAATTCAAAGGAGAAAATGCAGTAAGGAATGGTGGGAATCTTACCACATAAAATAGCCAGCCACAAAGGGACTTGTTCCAATTACGAACTCTGAAAACCTCTAATACACAGATGAAATTAGTGTGTTTATTAGCATTACAACTGAGATTTTAAGAGGAAAGCCGTCGGAATGGTGATGTGCTAAGCACACAAGCTGCTATGTTTGCATCTAGTAAGCACATGTGTTTTACAAGGTGTGGTCCTGTTAGCATCAGGAACCTGAGCTGGGAGAGGACACTTACTGGTTCAGTGAGAGTACTGTCCTTTTCCAAAAACTGCACCACACAGTACGCCAGCTAGAGGGGAGGAGAAGGAGAGCAGGTGAGCCTGCGTTCCAACGTGAGCATGCCGCTGCAGCCTCCCAGTGCCCCCGCGAATCACCTTCCCGTGGTGACACAGTGCCCGGGTGAGCTGCACCCACCCCAGGCGGGCCCCCCACCCGCCCCGCCTGAGGCTCCAGTGGGGATCCTGGGAGGGATCCTGGGAGGGATCCTGGGAGGGATCCTGGGAGTCCGCCATTCATTGCCGGTGGCAGAGCAGAGCTAAAGCAAACGCGGCAGCAGCCTTTTCGACTGACAGCAACAAGTCAGCCCAGGTGTGACACGGGGGTAGGTGGGCACTTCTCCTTTTGGGAATTGGAAAGAATAAGTAATCTAAGTAAGCAATCTATTCATTTCTGCTACCAAACAATCAACGTAATGACCACCTGGCTGGATGAGAGGCACTCTCAGGTGGTAGCCATCAGATAAAACGCTCCAAGAAGAGATCCCTGGAAGATCATGCCCATTAGGGCACCAAGGATGACTCTTTCTGTAATTTTCCCATGCTCAGGCTTCCGAGAGTGGCACCTTCTTCCTGGGGGGCCCACCTGGTGCCGGACCCTGCATAGGGACAGCGGAAGCAACGCAATGGCTGCGGGGGTGGGGTGGGGGCGGGTCATCCCCCAGCACTGGCTGCTGCAACCAGTGCAGGTTAAGTTCTGCTGTGCACACCAACAGGAGTCAAAGAAAAAGCAAACTGGCTAGGCACTGCATTTTCATACAAATAACATGTGTGTTACACATTTTTGGGGCTAACACACAACCCCCTCATGCTATTGTTGTAAGCGCAATATGTTGCATGTTATACATGGAGGTGTGTTATTTGCAAAAAAATACAGTAAATACACCAACTAACCATTTAGTAACTACTTATTGGCCAATTAAAATAAATAATTATTTTCTATTTATATAATATATATAGTTAATGGGAGCTCTGGTAGCATAGTGGCTAAGGCACTTGACTGCTAACCAGAAGGCTGGCGGTTCAAACCCACCAGCCACTCCCCGGAAGGAAGATGGGGCAATCTACTTCCGTAGTGATACTGCCTTGGAAACCCAAGAAGGGGTTGCTATGAGTCGGGTCCAACTCGACGGCATGTAACAACAACACAACAACAGTTAATTATATGCATATAAAAATATACATAGTTATGTAAGTTTTAAGAACAGATAGCTGTTATTTGGAAATTTTTTCTTTAAATGTTATTTATTATAAACCAATTCAACAGCTGCTACACGTGCAATTCAGTGACAATAATCACGTCCTTTGAGTTGTGCAGCCCTTCGCACCCTCCTTTCCTGAGCTGTTCCTTCCCCATGAACATAAACTCACTGCCCCCTAAGGTTCCTATCTGACCTTTCCAGTTGCTGTTGTCAATTTGGTCCCATGTAGACAGTTCTTACAGAGCACAGTGCTCAAAGGAGACCTTTTCCACCAGTTAAACTACACTATTACTTGGTTGTAAGAAGACTTCAGGAGATATTTTTGGTTTAAGGTTTAAAGATCATCTCATGACAATAGCATCAGGGGTTCATCCATCCTCCGTAGCTCTATCCAAGTTAAGACTCTACAAAAATATGACATTCTGTTCTGCATTTCCCCCCCTTTTGATAAAGATTCTTCTATGGAATTGTTGCTCAAAATGTTTGTAATTGTAGCTGGGCACCATCCAGTTCTCTTGACTCATAGCAAAGGGGGCAGCTGTTCACAGAGGTAATTAGCCACACATTTCATTTCTTCCTATTCCTGACTCTACTTTTTTCTCCGTTGTTACAGGTGAACAGAGAACAGTTGTTATGTCTTGGATGGTTGTTTGCAAGCTTTTAAGATCCCAGGTACTACACAAGGAACTAGGAGGTCAAACAGAAGCACATTATCAGGCTAATTAACTGGGATGTCCCATGAAACCATGACCCTAAACCTCCAAGCCAAGGAACTGAATCCCATGAGGTGTTTCGCTGCACGTAAGCAGGAAGCAATTACTGTTTTTGGTTGTTGTTGTTGTCAATGTATCTATCACACAACATTGCAAATGCAACTATTGACAGGTGTACAACCAACTGACAGCAATTTTTTTTAAAAAACGTTTTTGTAGGCCATTTCATGGGCCATGCACACATAGGTTTTGTTCTTTAAGACACTAGATTTTACAACATACTACAAACCACTTCCTCAAAGATGTCAACCCTGATTCCTTTCATAATCAGCCATTCCTTTCTCTCTGTTTAGAATGAATTTTAAAATTCTGCATCCCAGAGATTGTTCTGAATTTATTATATGGGATCTCTCTTTAGCTCCTTTACCCTTTGAATTATCACCAGAATCCTGTCATCTAGATCAGTAACATGATATAAAAATATAGAAAACATGCTACAGAAGAGATATAGAATGTGATTGAAAGGGCCAGATCCACCATTTTGTATGTAGGAACAGTCCAATGACAGCATGTGTGTGGGCGTGCGGCCCAGCTCCGTGCTGCCGCGGGGCCCGTTACCTGTGGATGGTAGACACTCAGGGATTTCACTTTGTGCAAAGGCAGTAACACCTTCAATAAGAAAATCTTGTGCTCTTCTTTCAGCGGTAAGGCAAAGCCATTAATTATACTGTGGAAACAAGAATTCATGCAAACTTTTAATATTCACAAATTTCAGAATTAAGAGAAATAACTTTTTCTTTCTAGCATGAAAACCAGCAGACAGAATGTGTTTCAGAGAAAAAGGAGGACGTCAGCAGGATGATAAAAGACCATTCCTTCAAGGAAGCGCAGGCATCTATCTCATCCCCTAACGACCCATTAAAGCTCTGGGCCCATGGGTGCTTCACCAGCACAGCAGGAAGCTGGCCCAACTGCAGAAGTCACTGGGCACCCAGAGCCCGTCCTTCTCAGGAGCCTGGGCACTCAGGGGACCTGGCCGGATGTCGCCCTCCCCGGGCTTCGCCTGCCTGACTCAGGTGTGGGGTTCTAATGCTGGCAGGCTGAGTTAAGCAGGGCAGCTCTCAATGTCTGTAAGAGAGCCTTTCTCTTGGGCACAGAAAGGGCTGTCAACAGCCTGTCAACTGCCGTTTCTGTCTCCAATACTGCCAGTTGCACGGAGAGTTTTAGAAATGGTCAAAGCTGCCAGTTGCACAGAGAGTTTTAGAAATGGTCAAAGCCTTTTCCAAGCTGTGTGGCTGATACCCATTAACCTCAGCACACCAGGGGCTGCGTGAGGGGTTTGTTTTAGTGGTGCATCATGATGACATGCTCATTCACACATAAAAACAAACAACTGCAGCTAGGGGAGCAGCTCGGATACTGTGTGTGTGGTGTGCAGGCCACACCCAGTGCTTCCGAGAGGTCCCAGTCCCCATGGCACCTACAGGGCACACACAGCTACTCTTCCTGTGCCACAGCTGGGGAGGCAGAAGCCAGACGGGAAGTAACTCACCCAGTCAGGCTGTGGTTCCTCCACAGGCAAGCCCTCCACCACTCACCCCACCACCCTGCATGGG